TAAGAATTTTTCAAATGGTAGTTGAAGTGTAAGACACAAAATTGTCATATTAATAATATACATTGCTATTAGCAATTCACGAGACAGTACATGCTGTGGCAGCACCACTTAATTAATTAATAAAGAGTAAGTATTGTGAAATAAAAAAAGCCGGTTTTTTAAACATTGAATTCTTGTTTTGGGTCCCTGTTAACAAAAAAATGACATTTTTATTGTCCTCAAGTGTAGTAATCTCAAGTACTTAGTGCAGTTCAGAATCGTTGTCAGTCCTGACACCAATAATACATTACTTTAGTAAAATTCTGACCCTAAACGGAACATCACAATCACTGGTCAATAATTACAGAATACACTCCACAATTGATATTTCTCAATCAATCTGGCAACACGTCAGGGCCCCAGGCAAAGTTTGAACCAATTTTAAATTTACTGGTTATGTTATGCGGCAACATTTTCAAGAATTCCAACAAAGAATTCCAACTTTTTATTTAAATTTCTTGTCAGATATGAGTGTGTTATAAAAATAGTGGAGGCACTTTTTAATAAAATTCGTGAATTTTAAAAAAATTTGCATCAGTTGTTTGGATCCTCTCCCACAAGTGCATTGTTAAAGATAGAGAGGGTTCTCCCCTCCCTACGTATATTATGAATAATTTTCAACTTTAGAGAGATATAACAAAATTTTTAAAAAAACCAAAAAAATCACTTAAATAAGTTAACTACTCTTTCAAAAAAAATATTAAAAGTTTTTTTCTCTTATTCTTTTTTTATACACCACAATGCACTAAACTTTAACTAATTTAATGAATACTTTAAGTTTTTTTTAAATAACACATGTTTTTTGAAATTTTCTCCCACATAGTTAATTCATCATTTAGAGGTACTTATTAATTTATTTAAGTGAGCAACTAATGTTTTATGATTTTGGAAACTTCAGATTTTTTTTAGAAGTACAAGTCAAAATGTTGCATTTTCAGAATTGTTTTGAAAAATATTTTCTCGAACTTTTCACCATTTTTTTCATAACCATTAACATTGCCCTCTAGCATTTGGAAGTTTTTTCAATTCATCTATAGGAGACCCAAATATTTGATAGTGTAAAGAAAAGTTTATATTTTTGATAAAACACAAAATTTCCTCAGTATAATATTATAGGAAAGAATACCAAAACCGTGTTAAGAAATTTCATTCAACATTAACAAAATTTTATTTTCTGAATTACAATTATTATTTTTTCTGCCTCTTATATTGTTTTAGGAATTTATATGACTGATAGGATACAATTTGTAAAAATGCGAGGTATATTAAATCAAGAAAGAATCTTTTTTTTTAGGTTTTCCTCAAAGTCCTATTTGGATTTTTACTATTCCGTGCACTTTTGTGTTTTGACAGATGTCTGATGTCTTATTTTGCAAGATTTTAATGCTTAATCGGCTTAAAAAACATTTAAAACGAGAAACTACATATTATGCAGTGCTAAACATTCAAACCCTTTTTAACATGATGCATTTCTAAGCATAATCTGTACTTCCTTTAATTTTTTCCACATGCAAATGCATAATACTTTTCCCACATTCAAAAAAACAACAGATTACGAAATCAAACAAGTAACATACATCTAAGTTTCAACATTACACACTCAAGGATTTGATTGAAATAAAGCCAACCAAATCCTAGGATTTTTGGGAACTTGATTGGAACTTTATATTCTGAAAATTTGTCAGACCATTTTAATGTTTGTCCTCACTTGATGGCCTCTGGTAAGGTTCATATTATTCTTGATTATGATGAGTGGATACAGCATATTATTTCTTTGAACTGCCTAGAATTTAACCTGATCACAAATATATTTCTATTGCATCACAATAAACATATCATCTTCAGATCATGGAGCAACTTGCCGACTCAATATTCCATCAAATTAATTTCAAACAACATGGATTGTCTTTTACTTCTACAGAACTGTTAATTTTTAAAGTAGCAACATTAACACGGATTGAATTACTTTTATGATTCAAAAATTAGTCCTTTTATGAACAACTCCATTGTCTATTGAGTAATTTACATAATCCGAGTTATAACAGCCTCAAATTCTAAAAATAAGTGAAGTGTCTGAAAGAATTGTTTTCGAAATATAGTGCTTAAAAGGTTTAGTTTAATGATTTGTATTTTAAATTACACAATATTCAAAATTCTAATCTAGTATTTAGCCTGCTAGTTATAATTTAAACAATATTACTCAGAAGTCACACTTAGATATTATGGTTATATTAATTACATGTCCATTTATTAAATAAATAAAAACTTTCTGTATTGTTTAATTTGAGACAGTTCACCCCCCCCCCCCCCCCTATAATGATTGCAATGATAGATTTTAAAGCTAATGTTATTGCATGAAAAAATATACATGCATCAAAAAATGTTTGATTTTACTTATATTGATATTGTTTGTATTCCCCGCCAAAAAAAACCCTAACATGTTACAATAGTACAATCAAGTCAGCAATCTCTTTAGCACATGGGCCATTGGGTGGCGGTGCACCCAAGCATCAGACACATTACGTGTAGGCTCAAAACTTGGCATGTCATTTATATTTTTAGTTGCATTTGTGGATGCGGGGACCCCAAATCTCTGCATATCATAATCATATTTAATGCTCCTTATCCCTTTGCCTGTCCTCAAATTTTACCACAACATTGCTAGAAAAATTTACATGACATTCTGAACATGAATTTTTCTTTACAATCATTTGAGAGTGGATGAGATCAGAGTAAAAATATGGTTAGCAAGATAGTTCAGTCAGGGCTGGAAAACATTTGTTTAAATAGTCTGCCTGAGGTGATCCTAAATTTCTACGATAAACATATTGATGACTAATTATGGGGATGTATCAGGAATTATTAATCGAAATTCGATAAGTGTATTTTCAGGGGAACATAAAGCACTCTCTCTATTGAAGCTGAACATTGGAATCATTATCTGGGAAACTGTTTCAATCCTAGTGTTATAAAATTTTGAGGAGGAGCTTAGTGGAAATGTTTTAAGTATTGCAACGCTTGTAACTTTTTTTTTTTTTTGAATTAGTAACATTTGACATATTGGAAGTATAAAAAACATGAAACTTACTGTCTCATTTTGCTACCAGTACAGTAGAACTTCCACTTATACGATTTTTTTCAAGGAACTTAAAGCGGAAAAATGAACAAAAGAGAAAAAAAGCATAAACTGAAATTGAATATTATGAGCAAAATAACTTCAATATATTACGGCACTACTTTTTATTAGAAAAAGATATTACCCAACAAAAAAATTCAAAATGCAGTTTAAAAAATTACTAATGAGAAAAAAGTATTTTGTCTTGGCACGCTTGAACATTACACATTCGCGCTCTAGGGTTGCAGGTAAGTGCACTAACCTTCCAATGATTAGGAATTAAATTTATTCTACAGTCTCCGTTCCCTTACCACAGCAAACTGAAATTTTTCATAGTTCCGCTGCTGGGGGTGGCCCACCACACGAATCCCTCAGTCCTGACCCTCAGCAGCGCCTACGCAGTCATAATTACAAATTTCATTAATGTGAAGGTCGCCTTCAAGGCTGAGGCGTCGCTCAGGGGTTAGTGCTTTCGAGCATGCCGACTAGTAAAATTCCCGACAACTCAGGGTAGGTTCACCCCACGCCACGGGGGGAACATTTGAATGTTATAGTCTTAAAAAAGGACATTGTTATAATCATATAAGAAAGAAGAACATATAAATGTAAAAACGATATACGAATTGTTTAGCAAGGATTTTCTGGGATGTGGGGATAAAAAACCCACACACATACAACAACAAACAAACAACGTCTAAACGAGAAAAATATATAAGCGTGAAATGATTAAAAACAGAGTTTCACTGTACATTCATTACTTATGCACAACTGATCTCCAAAAAATTTGAAATAATCACAATCACAACGTATAATTTCAGAGGTACATTGGGTGAAAATATGTTAAAACAATGTCCATTTCAGGAAATCAAATGTTGAAGTTCATACTCTATGAAAGCAGCCACTTCATCCATGGTAACAAGTAAACGAAACAAGTTGGCCTCTGTAAAAACTAGTCATAATAGTTAACAGCTTTGCAGTGCAAATAAGATTAAATAATGTACGTTGTTCTCTTGCTTTTACGTGAAAAAAACACACGCCTTCTAGATGAATTCATTCAAAAGAGCATGAATGGTAAATGAGAAGCTCGTTAACCAAAAGTATGTTTAAAAAGCACTATTTACAAGTTATGCATACAAATATGTGATCAAATAAGTATCAGGATAGTAATCAGGGTTTTTTTGTCGCAGAAATGGTGATATTGGTGTTGGGTCGTGTTTTTAAATGGAGTTGGGCTTGTGCTACACAGAATGTGTTATGTGGCGGAATGGTGTACAATGTCACCAAACCATCCCTGTAATGGGACTGGCCCTGCACAGAGTCCTGACTTGAATCCTATCGAAACCTTGGGAATTTGTTGGAACGCGACCTTCGTGCTTAGGTCTATCTTCGACCTACATCGATTCCTTTCTCAGTGCAAGCACTCCATGAAGAATAGACAGCCATTCTTCCAAGAACCTTTCCATCACCCGAATGAAAATATATGGGGGGCCTGGTATGAGTGGAAGCTGTCATCAAGGCTGAGGGTTGGGCCAACAACCTATTGATTCCAGCATTACGATGGAGCACCTTGAACTGGTAAGTTCCCTTTCCAGCCACACTTTTAGTGTAATATCATTTGTTTGAGAAAAAGCTAATTATTCAAAAAACAAAAAAATCAGAACTTTTGATTTATATTCCCTTAATGCCTTATTACCCTGTTTTTTGTTTTTTATTACATGAATTAAATGATTATCATAAAACTCTAGAAAGCCCAAATACATACAGTGTGGCTAGTAAATTCCTTGACTGGATAATAAAGTTTTCACAGATTGAAACTGGGTCCAATTGGATTATGGGGAATATTTAGGTGTGCTTTAAAGAAATAATTCATACCATTTCAAACTGGAAACATTATTTTGCAATCAAAACATTTTATTTCACGAAAAATACCTAACTCTTCTGAGAATTTTTCAGATAGCACCAAAACA